GGTCATGAAATGAATTTAGAACTTGGGAAACAGATACATGGCTTGACAATTAAATCAGGATATGGAAGTCATGTTTCAGTTTGTAATGTATTGATCTCGACATATTCAAAGTGTGAGGTTACTGAAGATGCAAAATTAGTCTTTCAGTGCATGAATGATCGCAACATAGTGTCTTGGACAACTATGATTTCAATAGACGAAGAAGATGCCATCTCTCTATTTAATGAGGTGAGATTGGATGGAGTATATCCAAATGATGTTACATTTGTTGGACTAATCCATGCTATATCAATTAGAAAGTTGGTGGAGGAAGGCGAAATGATTCATGGGTTTTGCATTAAGACTGGCTTTTTATCAAAGCATAATGTTTGCAACAGCTTGGGTATGCTAAGTTTCAGTCCATGCATGACTCCATCAAAGTTTTTGAGGAGTTCAACCGCAGAGAAAACATATCGTGGAATGCTTTGATTTCAGGGTATGCTCAGAACGTGCTGTGTCAAGATGCACTAAAAGCATTCTTTTTAGCAACTATGGAGTCAAAGCCAAACAATTACACATTTGGTAGGGTCTTGAGTGCAATTGGTGATGCTCAGGATATTTCTCTGCAATATGGCCAATGATGCCACTCTTCCTTGATCAAACTTGGATTAGTGACTGCCCCAATTATCGCAGGTGCTCTTCTTGATATGTATGCAAAGCGAGGAAGCATTTGTCAGTCCAAAAGAGTTTTCAGTGAGACGCCTCATAAAAGTCAGTTTGCTTGGACTGCAATAATATCTGCATATGCTGGGCATGGAGACTATGACTCAGTGATAGAATTGTTCAAGGAGATGGAGGGAGAAGGGGTAAGACCTGATTCAGTCACATTTCTTTCTATACTAACAGCATGCAGCAGAAATGGAATGGTGGAGATGGGCCATCACCTCTTTCATTCAATGGTGAAAGACTATCATATTGAACCATCTCCTCAACATTATTCAAGCATGGTGGACATGTTGGGACGTGCAGGGAAATTGGAGGAAGCAGAGGAATTGATGAGTCAGATCCCGGGACAGCCAGGGTTTTCGTTGTTGCAAAGCCTGCTTGGGGCTTGCAGGATCCATGGGAATGTGGAGATGGCGGAGAGAGTAGCCAATACATTGATGAGATTGGAACCAATGGAATCGGGTTCTTTTGTGTTGATGTCCAACTTGTATGCTGAGAAAGGGGACTGGGAAATGGTGGCAAAAGATGGCAAGCACAGTGATGTAGATGGCAATGATCATACCCAAAATGAAGGGAAGAAATTGAAAATATCTGATCAGTTTGATGCCTGGTGGGTGATAAATTCTCATCAATTAGCAAAGAAAACAACGTATACAATTTAGATTAAACAAAGAATAGGATCTCTCATCAACTATGACAAAAACAAATGCTTAAACAGAAAAGGGAAAGGTGAGCAGTTCTAACTCACAAACTTTGTAAACGTGCAAGCTCACTTTGCCTGTTTCTTTCTCCTCTTCTTTGATGAGTTTAGAAGTCCTTTTATCAGACTTTGGTTGGTCCAAAGAGGTGTTTCCACCATTGGCTTCCCAGTGGTTCGAAGAGAGTTGAGGAGATATTTGAGGACTGGGGGAACTTTTGCTGGGAATAGTGGTGCTCATTGTTGTGCGCAGCGGAAGCAGTTGCACTAGGTGGACAATAAGGAACCGTTGAAACAAGAAGACAAATATGAAAATGGGAAAATCAGGAGAGGTGTGTGCAGGTGTGCCGCACTGTGCCGCACTAAAGAGAGGACTTTGAAGGTGCCGCAAAACCTTAAAAGACAAACATTCATTCATGAAACCGAAAAACATGAAAATTCATTTGCTTAACCCTAAAATGAGAAAAATTCATTAAGGAAACTCTAAAATGCAAAAATTCATTTTGCAAAACTCCAAAATGAGAAAATTCACTAGTGAAACTCCAAAATGCGAATATTCATTTGCGAAACACTGCTGATTTAGCGAATTTGAAAATTGCAATTTTGAATGAAGAAATTATTTTGTTGAGCTCAACCTACACATTTTCCAACTTGAACAAAACGAAAACTGAGTTACATGACCGTTATTGATGCTACAAAACATATCTATTGATGAGTGCACAAAATTTCTGTCCTCACAAAGAATGCACACATCCAAATGCTCCACCATTACAAATGGCTTGTCAAGTGAAAAAGAAAATGGACTGTCTCCAATCTAGCCCTGAGCTTCGGAAATGGCTAGTCTTCCTCAATATCTTCACCATCTTCTTCGTCATTTTCTTCATCTTCCTCATCATGTTCATCATCATCATTTTCCATATCTTCATGGTTGTCTTCGGTTTTCTTACCATCACCATTTCCTGAAGAACAAGAGATAAATAAAAGGCTGAGCAAACATATATCACTCAGGCTTATCTTAATCAATATAAACGTGCACTTTGTAACAATTCACACCAAAAAAGAGAAAAGGGAAGGCAGAATGATTAACATACCAAACTCATCGAAGATGACTCCACCAGAGCACAATCCTTCCTCAATCTTCATGAGCTGAAGAGTCATTCTGGGTCCTATCTCTTGAAGCTTGACAGCACTTTTTGTAGAAGCCCGATTGACCCTCCCGAGATCACTAGCCAAAGTGACTGTTGCTGCTTCATCATCTGCTTCACTTTCTGACCCATAGCCAGCCCTTCGGAATCGACAGGAAAAAGAAAGAAGATAAAATGACCAAGTTTAGTCCACCTTCTAACTGCAAAACATGCAGAAGTCTATATTCCTGTTCATTATCTTTTCTATGTTGCACTTCATTACAGTCCTTTTATTTTTTATTTTTACCAAAAAGCATTCGAAGACGATATCACCACACTAAAACACCATGAAACAACCTTGAGAAACCATATAAATTCATGCATGACGTATCAACTATATGACTGAAGGAATCAATCCAATTGCAAAATCGAATAAGATGAATTTAATGGCAGATCAGATTTATGCATTATTTACCAAACTCACTTAAGATATATTTGAAGGCAGACCAGATCATAAGCATTCTTTAGCAAACGTACTTAACATTTCTAGCTATCAACTCTAGCAATCTAGTAGAGTTTCCCTAACTTGATCCACAGTGAGAAATCAGTGAACCTCAAAAAACTGTTGAATCAGATACTCTTTGAACAAAAAAGTTATCCTATCATTTTCCTTTCCAAGCTGATTTAAAATTCCTCAAATCCAACAATAAAATAACTAAACAGTAAGAAAATCGTCTTACTTTGTGACAAAATCACTCACGTCTTGAAGATTCCTTAGATCAGGGACTTGATGGTTCTGGACAAATCTTCTTAATCTGCGGGAGACACCCACAGGCTGTAATCTTATGGAGTAATGCCGAAAATCAATCAGTTTTGTGTCTTTGTTGTAATTAAGCAATACAATTCTCTGGCATGAAGAGAGTTTCACCTGTAATATTCAAATCAAGACCACAGTAAGTTGGGGAAAAATGCTTTTGATACTGACAATTGGGTAGATATCATTTTGTGAACTAACAGTGTTAACATCAATGGATGGAAAGATGTTCTGAAATAGTATTGTTGTGAGCTTCAAATGTTGCTCTCCAGTCCCAAAACCAGAAAGAACGATCTGCCACACAAAAAATAGTATACGTTAAAACCCAAATTGTGATATTCTTTCATGGAACTTCACATAAGATAAATATGCCTCAGCCAAATGAAACTGATAATGCATCAACTAAACTGCAGTTTGGGAATGAATGAGAAACCAAAAAAAAAACATTAGAAAGAACTGGTCAGGACATTTAAATATACTTTTATTTCTTCATTTTGTGATAGAGATATAAGATTACCAAAGGGGCATTCTTGAAAAGATCTTGAGGACATCTAGGCCGCAGTTGAGATCGAACAACATCGACTGCCAAAGAGTACTCCTGTATTTTAAATGTAAGTGTTGGGCCTTGAGGTGTCCTCGCAACCCTAAGGTATGGTGCAGTTGGAGTTTTCGACAACATGAGGAAATGTGTAACCCCCATGGGCCCAGCAACATTCAAAAAGTCTTTAAGTTTGTTCCGCCTGTTCTCCTGCAAAAACATTGTGGAAAAAGCTCAGTTCTTTACTTGAGATTTTTAATTTAAAATTCATCAGCTCTTCAAATTAAAAATTTGAATCATAACACTATCACTTCTCAATTTCTAGAAACATGAAAAACCCATGTAGCAACAAAGGCCAAAACAAATATTTTCGTACCTTAAGCTTAAGAGCAGTATAGGGAAGCATCAACTTCCTCAGATCCGCTTGAAGTTGTTTTAGAGGACCAGGCAACCTAAATCTGGAAAACACAAAGCTCCTTGGGATTTTATCCCCTGTGACATGGTCCACAGTAGCCTGCTGCTTCTTGGAAACTGGTTTCACAAACACCTTCTTTTTCTGTTTTGGAATTTCAATTAATAGAAAAAAAATCACTCAAAATTGAATAAACGTTTACATAATTATGAACAATGTTCAGAGAGAACAAAATTTCCCTTCTTTAGTTTTCTCGTCAACCAAACACAAGCTGCACGTTCAAGCAAACTATATAGAAGTAAATATGCTTACATTTCGGAAGCGAGCCATGGCTTCCAAGAATATTGAGTTTCAGTGCTGTAATCTCAGCTTCGTAGCTTTGTGATTAATACTGCAAAACAAAACACACGCATTCACCAATTTATTATAGGGCTTCATCAGACAAATAAAATAACAAAACTAATCAAATTTAATAAATATTGAAAAATAGGGGTGAAGCTGAAGAGAAAAGAAAAGAAAAACAGACGGAGAAAATATGGTATTACCTCGGGCGTATGGTTTTGGCGAAATTCTAAGGTTTTAGACGAAGAGGGCGACGACTGATAAGAGATAGCGGGAAGCAAATTAGGTTGTCTTTCAGGCCCATCCGGACCGTCGAATTATAAGTAATGAAATTGATAGGGAGCGACGACGCCGTATAGACATGGAGCGGTTTTGGTAAAGCCCCGGCTTGATTTTGGGCTTGGTTAGAGGTATCCAACCCAGGCTCGGTCCAATAAAAAGTAGAGCTACACCATTTTGCTTTCTCCTTATTCCCATTACTCGGGAGAAAAACTTACCTCTATCAGGACGCTAGTATGACGGTATTTCAAGACAATCACGTATTATTTTGCATTTTAATTTTTCCACGACACATATATAATACTAAACCTTCAAGTTCTTCTCTTAGATTAGCCATCAAGGGGAAAAAAAGGTAGTTTAAACATTTTAATTTTTCACATACATAGTACAAAACATTTTTCAGGATATGATATGTAAATGAAATGTATGGAAGATCTCAAATATATTATTCACGTGAAATGTGACTAATCTTTTAAACAACATCATGTGAATTGATTTGAACCAAAAAGTATTTATGATGAATATATACCATCCCATGTGGTTGCTAATATGAAGTTGGTTTAGCTAATTAACCTCAACTAATTGAAAACCATAAACCATAAAGTATAATTTTGCTTTTTGCCCAAGTAAAGCTCCTTCGAATCTTCAATGCTTCCTAAGTTACAACTTGCATCCCTCTTAGCCAGTCTAACTTTTCATAGTCCAAACAAACAATAACCCCATGAACTTTAACTAGTTCAAAGATCATGTGATCACCTTTCCGGGTCTTCATTCACATTGGCAGTTTTGATCACGCTGAAGTGTTGAAATCGACATGGTCTTTTTATGATATATAGATACAGTCCGTGTTTGAATCTTTGATGTTCTTTTTGTTTTTGCAAAGCTAGCTACATCTACGAGTTGTTATATCATGTATTACAAGCGTTGGTATCAATAAATAATAAACAAGTTGGCGTTTGTAGCGTTATTGATAATATAACGTTCCCATATCACACAAGATAACATAGATACCATAAGGCAAAAAATTCATCTGCCCCATTCACATGTTTTTCACCATTTCAAACCTAAACTTTCTGCTCATCAGTCATCACTCTCTCCTCCCCATCTTAATTGCCCTCACCAGCCTCTCGCCTTTGAAAAAAGTTTTCCGCCCTCTAAACCCTTTGCCAGTTGCCACCCAAGACCCGTTATAAAAAGCTCACCGCTCAATTAACATTTTCATCACATTCCTTCTTCCCATTTTTATTTTTCCATTTTAGAGATGAAAATGGCATGTTCCAATTACGTTTTAGCATTCATTTTGCTTGCAATATGCCTGATCAATTCAGTCCAGTTGGTATCTGGAAATGGGAATCAAAACAATGTCCAAAAGGCTTGCAGTGTGACCAGATATCAAGACCTCTGCATCCGCTCACTTGCTTCATTTTCAAGATCGGCCAAGAGCAGCCCTAGCAGGTGGGCAAGAGCTGCGGTTTCAGTGACATTGGGTGAGGCCAAGAGTGTGGCTCAGTACTTGCTAGCTCTGCAAAAGCACAGCCGCATAAATGGAAGGAGAAGCAGAGTTGCTCTGTCTGATTGCATTGAGTGCTTTCAAAACTCAATCGACGAGCTTCACAAATCGCTTGGTGTTCTCAGGAGTCTAAGTCGAACGACTTTTGACACGCAAATGGGTGACCTCAATACGTGGCTGAGTGCTACCCTTACCAATGGGGACACTTGTTTGGATGGCTTTGAGGGCCAGAGAGGAAGACAAGTCAAATTGCTTCAAAACAAGGTCTTAAAAGCCACTCATATCACCAGCAATGCTCTGGCTCTTGCCAACAAACTTGCCGCCACTGGCCTGGAAAGCCTCCCACACTCATAGGAAGCTAGGGAGACAAATTATAGGCTCAGCCTATGCACATGCATGATTAATTGTGAGTCTCAATAACACGGGAACGCGGATTAATAAACTTTAGCATAACTTAATAATGAAATGCAGTGCGATTCAAAATTGTGTAAATTAATGGTTTGTTCAATTGTTGCAACTGGTTTAGTACCGCTAGTTTGTCTACATATATGACATATATAGTTATTCTCTTGTCCGCATATGATAAACTACAATTAACCGCAGCTAATTGCAGTTCTGATCTTACCAATTGGCGGCAATTGCTCTCTGCAAACAAAAAATATCTGCACCTTGTACTGTTTTTTAAGTTTTGCAGCAATTATTGAAGTTGGTGGCAAACCTTTATTAATAGGTAACATGAAGGGCGACAAAAGAAGACTCTAATTGATAATGCACATAGTTCAACTTTGTATTACATTATTAGTTTAAAAGATTTTAGAATTTCCACTCGTCTCACCGTATCGTTCGGTCTTCATTCCAACATTTTTTGCCGCTTATATCATTCCATCTGGAAATTAAAGACATTGCTGCAGCAGACTCTGTTTCTGTTTCGACAAGTCAATAACGTTAGTTAAGGAAAAATTGTCGGAGTGATTTTGGTTGCTATCCATTTGGAAATGAAAGTTGAAATTGAAACAGCAACTTGCGCATGCAATTCATTTTAGGCGGAGTTTTAGGTCTCTGTTTGGTCTTTGTTTTTGTCCAGGGATGTCATTTTCGGGAAGAGAATTGACCGTAAGCTATCGACCCTTGTGCTTGGAGTGTTGGGCGACCCAATGTCCTCAGGCATATACCACTTCAACAGAAGATGACACGTATACGGAATAGGTTGTCAGGTCAATTTATCTTTTCAGTTTTGGATGCTTACGATAGGTCAATTTATGTGCAGAAGCTATTAGCTATATGGGAAAAAGATACAACAGTTAAATTTGTATTGTCAATTACTTCAATTTTTCTGCCGCCCGAACCAATAAAACAACTAATAAAATTAGGATAATGTTTGCTTCCTTTTCTGTAAAAAGATACTTATCTTTCTTGCGAATTATAATTTAATATATTTACACAATAATTTATCAATAATACAAAAAGAAATTTGTGTACGCATATTACACTTTTATTGACAGAAATATATGAACTTTTACTTACATATAGCATGACAAAGAGGGAAGTATTTTCTATAAAGTTATTATTATATTTTCCCAAACTAATAAAAAAAAATTAGTTAATTACTTCAAAAACCCAATGCCTAACTTCATAATCGGGAAAACCCTAAATATCTATGTACATGAATTTCGTGGTTTGGTGGGGACCATAGCGTGATGAGCATTTTACAAACTTTCTAGGAAGTCGGAAGAATTTCGTACACACCATTCAGACTGTTTGGCAGCTAAGAAAAAGTCTGCAACTTTTGAAACTTTTGACCCGGTGTGAGAAAGGTTGCCATCGTTCTCATAATGTCATGATTTCAAATCAAGAACCCTAATAAAGAAATCAACAATAGGGAATTAATTATGTTCACTATAAGTTGTCCCAATGGTGGCTCTTATGTAACCATCATCACTGCCGCTAATTAGAATCAGATCGATCTTGAGTATTTTCAGTTATTGTTTGTTTTTTTTAAAATTGAAAATATAGTATTAATATATAAATATACATGTGTTATAATATGACTGAATTGATAAGACCACGCGACGGATTGATGTACTTAATCTTCTTAACTAGCTTGTGAGTACATTCCAATTTTGACTTTTAAAAATCAAAATTTAGGGGGCTGAATTTTATTTATTTATTTAGTAAACTTCGACTAAACGAGGAAAACGTTATTGATAAAATGAAGAATTATAACACGAGGGATAACACATCTGACCTCGACTCAACAAATCATATAATAGGGCGTCCTAAATAAGATTAGTGGGCACCTCAAACTAAATAAAGTTGTCTACATTATATAGACCGAATCGAGCAAGTCAGTGTGCAATACCATTTACTTTCCTATGAGTAAATTGAAAAAGAAAATCATGAATCTTTTTCTGAAGATGCTTTATATCTTCAACAATAATACCAACGTTTGAATAATCCTATATTGGGTTGGTCATAGAAAGACAATAAAATAGAAAATGAAAAGATGATACCTTTTTGGCCTCAAGTGAAGGCTGATAAATAAAGAGGAATCAAGCAAATGAAAATGAGTCGGCATTTGAATCTCTTGTATGGTTATGAGAAAGTGTAATTAGTGTGTGTGTGTGTACTATGGTTTGGTTGTATTTAGTAGTATTTGATCAATCATGGCGGTTGGTGGCCGATTTGGCAGAAACGTGCGAAATCATTAAGCGCCACGCGTATGGAGCAACAGCGTCAACGTTGCTTATATATGAATGCTCCTCCGACGTGCGAACCAGGTCCTGTCTTTGTGGGTCTCATTAACATGCATCATCATGCACCTAATGGCTAGCTACTACCATACCCCCACCCCACGCCAAACAAAAACGCTTTATATTTCAACTTTCACGGACTTACAAGATTATGTAAATTTAGTCAAATGAGATATAACCGAGTGAAAAATAGTCTTGATTTGAAGATTAGTGGTCTTAAGTTCAAACTTTTATGACACATATTGATATTGTGTATAAGAAACTTCTCTTCTCCTTATAGTTCAGACTATCACTTATATTTAAAAATATATATATAAATAAATTATTGCGGTTTAAACGGGTGTCATGGAGGGTAGGGGGGAGAACCTCAACCACTGTGAGCTATAACCCATTGGCTATTGAATATTTTTCTTAAGATCTTATACCCAACAAGAAAATTGAAATGTAAAAATTTGACCGTCGGTGAAAAGCCAAAGGTGAATCTGACCCCATATTCTCATTTGGGTTCATGAAGTCACTCACAAACTAGCCAAGTAAATTTTTAGGCGTGGAAGAAAATGGACCTGCACAACGTTGACCTAAATTACTCAAATAGAATCTAAGTTACAAATCAAGATATCAACAAACTGAGCACTTAATAATTAGGTGAATCCATTGACCAAGAACTCACTATTAAATTGAAATTTGTTTACAACCACTACTGGTGAAGAACGCGAATAAACCAGAGTTTGTTTCTTTTCCGGGATAACAAAGAATAAGACAACCGTGTCACCATCCATCCGTTCGATAAGTTTTGTTATATGGGAAAATGGTTGTTGCACAAAGATTTTAAATAAAAATTATTGTACGGCAGTTGATACAGGGCCGGGGGCCCGACATATAATTGCTATCTGATATATATATATTACAATAATTATGCATATGGACATTCTGCTATAATATTTGTATGTATTTATTGCAAATGTGGACAATACTTATTTATGTAATTAGTAGTTGGAAAATGAGGTTTGTATTATAATTAAAAAGATTAGGTATAATTTGGGTTCAAGTCACGAATAATGTGTTTATTTTATTTAAAAGTGAGTGCTATATAATAAAATGCATGTGTAGCATATGCCTGGGCACTCTCAATGCACACATCTCGTGTGTTTAATCTATTAATACAAAAGCGTTTTATGTTAGATTAATTATACTATTAATATCGGTTGGTGTGTGGCTGAGGGAAAAGTGTCCATATTCATCAAAGGTACTTTGACATAGCAATTTGATTGGTTACGTAAAGGGATTTAGATTCAATTAGCTTTATAACAACGATTCCTTAAAAATATTAAAAAGGGAAACAAACAAATAAAATATAATTGGATATGAGTCTATGGCCCTGTCCATGGAGAAATTTATAGAATGGTAATAAATATTTGTTTTTAGTAGGAGTAATAATTTAAAATATAAACGATGAGGTTTATCACGCACACTACCAAAGTGTCACGAGAGTTCGAATATGAGATAATTAGTCTATAAGTCAATGCTTTTTTTTTCATGAACAAATAGTATTTTATATATATGGCATGTCCCGTTAGTTAGAAGGAGAAATGGAGTGTCCAAATCACTCCAAGTTTCAACAAATTGCCTTTAAGTAGCTAGAATTAGGCCAATTTTGTTGACCTTTTGATGAGGTGCCATCTTTAGGGTAATTGTACTCAATTGGTTATTGGAATTTGATGCTTATTGTTTTATTTGTTTGCTAAAGAAGATGATGCTTGTTGCTTGAGAAGTTCACAAATAATTCTTTCATCTATCTTCCCTTGAAAGTTACAATAATATTGGGAAATTCATGAATTATGTGAATTACCAAAACAATAAAAGCAATTGAGTACACAGACGATTTAATAAGTTTGTTTTTATGAATTCATGTAAAACACACACCATAATTTTTAAATCTTGTGAATATGCGTGTATATTTATTGGTATGCCACTTGAGATATTTTTTAAAATATAGTTGATTAAGCTTAAACTAGGGATAAGCCTCCTGCAAATAGGTATTGGCTAACATTCGATAGATACATTTTGTTTTATAGTATATGTCAAATAGTGGAGTGGAAATTTGATATGAGTCTATCTTTTATTACGTGGGTGATTTTTAACCGTTGATATATCATATAAGAAGCGAAAACGTATTTTATATGAGAAGTGAAAAGCGAATCTGTACCATTACGCGTAACAGTATGCACCGAGGTATGTGGAAATACAAAAACTTGAAATGAAATTAAATGCAGTCCTTAGAAAAAAGAAAGCGATATCGAATTTAATGTTGAATTGTGTACATGCCTAGGAAAAGCCAATCAGTCTTTTTCGCCTTCTGAGACGTAGACAACCCTTGGATAAAGTACCTACAAACTAAGGGTGGAAAATGAACCTCCACTGAACAATACATGTGTGATTTGAATATTTGAGCAAGAAATTTCCAATTTAATAAAAGCCACATGGAATGTGTATCGATTGCCTGTCTAAAATATGCATGGATCTAAAAGTAAAAGCCACTGTGTGACGTACGTGTAGGCCAGCACTGCACTGCAGGTTTAGTAACATGCCCATTCCCCTTGGGACTTCTGAATCTTCTAATACGAGAGCAACATCTGTCCTGTTTTTTAAATGAATCTGCAGTTATTTAATTATAAATTTGCAATTTAACTGGTGATTTATTTAATTATGTTTACATATTACATACACTCTCTCTCTCTCTCTCTCTCTCTCTAGTGGCCAGCAAGTTTGGTTTATTTTTGGAAATATAGATTTCATACCTGTGTTGGTGAATAATTCTTTACGGTAACAAATACTCCAAAACA